TGGCCTGGTGCCACAGGAGTATTGACCCTGGCGCTACCCTTACCTCAGTTTAGGCGGCAGGACTAAACACCTTCATTAATCAAAGTACATAGTTGGAGAATTTAAAACAGCCAGACAGGCCCATCTGTGTCTGACCACAGAGACTTGGGTAGCCACAGATCCTTCCCTCTCCAGGAAGCTCCCCTTCCTCTGTCCACCAAACCCCAGGGTTCCTTCTCCTTACAGGCCAGGCCAGCCCTGTCTCTCTCATCCTGTATTCAGTTGACTCTGCTGAGTCTCAGGCTCTTCATCCAGAAGTAAGGCTTTGTTTGTCATTTGCCTTGCTGAGTCACGGCTTTGAGCACACACAGTAAAGCGATGAGCAGATGAGTCTGCGCAGCTCCGCCAGAGGGTGCTCCTTCAGCAACTGCTTCAAGAACACAGGGGAGAGAGAAGAAGGCCTTTGTGAGCTCACTCAACAGTGAGAAAGAAGCATGAAATGCACCGTTTGTTCAGTAGGGGGCGATAGAGGAGGAGGGCTAAGCTCACTGCTTTGAGGGACAGGGTTTCCATTTCACCCTGCCCCACTTAAAACTCGTCTAGATCAGGGGCTGTGTGAGGCTGTGTTAGCACAGTGCAGGAGAAGGGTGTTCATCCGTGTCAGGCTAGTGTATTTATAAGCAACAGAAAGAATCAGTGAAAGTATGCCCCCCAAATAAATAGTAAAATAAGGAGTAGGCACACATGAAACTAGACCACATGTCCTAGGGAAGTCACAGTTCCCTTGCTGAAGAGCTCTGTATAAAGTGTTGACAACAGTGCCACCAAAAAACAACTCTGGGAGCATTTTGTGCATAGCATTCGCTTCTCAGAGGTCGGCAGTAGCAGTCATTGACAGCCATAGAGCCTCACAGCCCGGGCTTGTCACCGCTGGCCGAGTCACACAAACCTGGCAAGCGTTTTCAGCAGCAGTGCTCATACACGGATGACTTGGCCATTTGCTGGGGCTTGTGTCTCCTGGGACAACCCTTTGAGTAGCTTGGTATAACAACTCTTGGGCTTTGCCTTTAAATCACATTGGATTTTTATTTAGCTTGGGCTTTATTTTTGTTGTTGTTGTTGTTGTGGCCTTTATCAATTTTTCCACATTCTTTTTTATTATTATTTTAATTATTGTTAAAGCCTTATTAAAAGAAAAAAAACGGTGGAAATAAATCGAAACATTACACACCAAAACTAGCCAGTCCTTACAATTAAAGTGGGCATTCAGAAGGGAGGCTGTGATGTACCAGAATTCTTTTTTAAACATCTCACAGCACCTTGGGCTGGCTAAGAGCTTTGTCCTCAACAGGGACCACCAACTCGGGCTCCTTGGCCAAGTCAACCTGACTTGTAGGGCACGGAAAGGAAGAAGGAGAATCTCTTGCATGGGGCGGGGTGGTGGTGCTGTGTGTGTAACTGTCACAGAACCAACCCTAAGCTCCTTGAACCTGCTTCCTTTATCAGTATCAGACAGAGACTGCTGAAGGGCGGATGAAAAAACTAAGACTGTTCTCTATACAGAAGTCAACAGGCAGAAAAGCATGTCACTCTGACAGCTCTTTCCTTCCAAAGTCCCTCCCTATGTAATTACACAGTGCCTGTCTTTATCTGCTGTTTGTTACAGTGATTGACACACACTTGCCAGTCCTTAAAGCAACGTACTATAAAAAAAAGAAGAAAAAGAAAACAACCATTGGATTGACTGCCTAGGAGGATCAGGCACATACATTTAAGAGATCTGTTTGTAGGGCATGTTATCATGGCAAATAATAATGGATCGTAGTCTTGAAACTTGCTGAGAGAGTAGCAGATGCCGAGTGTTCTCACTGCAGAAGTCTGGGAGGTGATGTATGTTCATTGGCCAGTTGAAGCATTCCACGAAGTGTATGTGTTTCAAATCACCGGTATGTGCCCAGTGAGCATAGACAACGTTACTGAATAAAAGCAAAGGGGAAGCCATTGGAAAATTATAGAACGTGTGTCCCTATGACCATTGTTACTTAGATAAAACTCCAGTCATCTCCCCTTCCTCGAGCATGTTAGCATATGCAAATTACAGCTCCGAAGACAAGCCTTTCAAAAAAAAAAAAATGTGTCAAGGTCATTTTTTCAAGCCATTTCCTGTGAAATTCGGAAGTTTCACTTTTAGTTGGTGTTCAGCTAGAAGCCCTGGGTTTTCCACTTTATTGAAACCCAAACGCACAGCACACCGGAAAGTCGTCCTGCTGGCTTGCACCAGGAATTGTTTGCAGGGTGTGCACTGAGTGTCCAGGCTGTGCCAGACACCAGCACTGGGAGACAAGAAAGCATTTGGTCTCCGCTGTGGAAGCCTGCAGACAGGGAGGGAAGGATGGTACAAAGCAAGGGATATCCTAGTCCCCGGCAGCCTTATGGAAGTCCAGACAGACATCAGTTAGCAGCATTCACCCCAAAGGAGGATGTAGTAAAGAAAAGATCTGGAGAAGGCTACATCTGAATCTCCCTTTTAAAAGAAGGGCACCAAATACATCATAAGAATTTCTCAAAGAATTAATAAAAATACTGTGATTTTTTTTTAAGATGAGAGCAGGAGGTCGAGGGGATCCCCACTGTGTGTCTCCAGGTCCTCTACAGAGAGGCCTAGTGTAGCCGGGGACGCAAGCTGTCATCAGGACCGAGCCTGGGCTGGAGTAAGGTCATGGTTCGCTGAGCGGCAGCTTCTTGTCTTCTCTGGCCATATCCCTAGATTTTTGGATCTGGAGTCTGCTTGGCTGGCAGTGACTGGGTGACTCTTGCATGCCTATCATCCCTGAAATCACACACTCTCAGCGCTTTGCTGCAGTATTTGGCGCTGGACAAAATTGGCGGCCTCATCATGTGACCTTTCATAAGCCGTCCTTCATCAGAAAGTCCCTAGATGGCGCTAAAGATGAAATTACAAGAGAAACTCACCATTGTCTAGTATCTATTTTGCATTGATTTGCGTTTTCTCACACTGAACATCGTTGTTTTTCTCAAGAGCCGAGCAGAAAACGCTGCCCCGCACCTGAGGGTCCAGCAGCACTGAACCCACTCCCGCTCCTGAACCTGCTTCGTTCCTTCCCGGTGGGCTCTGCCGTGCCAGGCCTCTCTTCTTGATGCATGATAGGACGATACCAGACCCGTATCTCACAGGGCTATACTGAAAATCGACGAGAATAACCATCACACAGATCTAAGGCTGTAGTAACAACCGTCTCCTTACTGTGAAAATGGCTTCTACAACTTTGGTAACTAATACTGTGTGACTAGGCATTGGTTTAAAGCAACCATAAAGTTGCCGCCGTGTGTCACATCAGCTAAACCCAATCAGTTCTATAACTAACTGGTCATTTAATCGTAATGCAGACTGCTCCTTACTGAGACAGCAGTGTTTACTGCCTCCCGAAACTAGGCTGTCTTTGAGGATGGATGGTTAGTACTAACCGTTGTTAATCAATAATTCAAACTGCCCTAAGGTTACCCAGGAAGCAGGCCAGCAGTAATTAAGATCTTCTTTTAATACGGAATATAAAAACTCCTTTGGAGCTTTCCGGATCACCGCGTGTCTCCTGTCCTAGTTAAGTGTTTGGTGTGGCAGGGCCCTCGGCGTTTTCTCCCTGACTGTTGACAGAGCATTGTCGGTGGACATGGTTAAAACAGGCCCGTGGCAGTGTGCTCTGAAGAGACTCCAGGCAGGTGCCCAGCAGAGTGCCTGGCACGCACCCTCCCTCCAGCATGTGTGTGGGAGCCCCTAACATAGGGCTTGGGGTTTCCAGAGCAGTTCGGAATCAGAGCAAACAGAGGCTTCCGTGTTCTTCTTCCTAGGCTGCCTTAGGTCCTTCGTTACTTAAGGAAAACTTGTTTGCCGACTAGAAGACAAGCTGTGGTGGAATTAGAACCCACCCTGCTAGCTGAACACTCTGATTCCTCAGCCTGTGGGCCTCTGACGGTTGAGGTCACCCTATTCTGCTGTCCCTCTCTTGAACTGGTGGCCGTAGAGTTTGTGGTTTCCAGTGGGCTACTTGGGGGCTGAAAATGTGTTCCCTTTTGACCGCTGCGCCTGACTGAGGGCCCGGGTCCTCAGCCGTCTGTGCTGACCCGAGTTCAAAGTTACCCCTGCTGGCTGTTTGCTTTGCCTCGGTTTTTCAAATGAATTCTCATCACAAGAACTTGTGATCCTTGGACTCCTTGATCCCACCCCCCTACCCCCCACTCCCCTTATGCTCCCAAGAGGCTTTGTACCACGGGCTTGTATTACAGGCTTGGCTTGGCTGGGGTTTTCCTTTGTTTTACTTTTCCCACCATCTACTTATCACCTGAGTTCTTATTGTGTCTTTTCTCTTTTCCAGTTCTCTGAGAACTTCACACAATGTATTTGGAGCGTGCGCACCCCTCCCTCTCTCATTTCCCGCCTTCCCTGTCCATTTACCATTCTGTACCCCCCCCTTACTTCTTAAACTATCTCTGCAGCCCTTCCCCCACCCCCACTTATTCCTAAATCCGTGAAGTACAATTTGTGCTACACAGTTCTTCTTGGCTGGTGACTCTGTCCCAGCAGCTATGAACTACCCGATAGCTCTTTCGCTGGGGGCCAGACTTGGTGCCCACCCCTCCCCCCACGCTGGGATCTTACCTGGCTTGAGCTTGCCCAGGTCTTACAACGAGTGCTGCCTCAATGGTGGATTCTTGTGTGCAGCTTCCCTACGGTGTCCAGAAAAGTTTCCTTGTGCTCACCCACCACCTCTGGCTCTCACACTCACCCCACAACGGCGGCTGAGCCTGGGGACAAGCGGATGTGACGCAGGATGTGGCTTGGTTAGGACTGAGCATCCCAGATTTTGAAATCCTTTAGTGAGTCGGTGGGCTGACGGACCCCCACGTTATCCCCCACATTTTGATAAGTAATTACGTTACTTACTGTTGTGTGTCTGTGAGACTGGGATTAACCCTCCTGCCCCCCCGTTCAATTTCCTTTCCAGGTCCAACCGGCCCACCTTCTACACTCCCTCTCAGCACGCAGACCACTAGTGGCAGCTCCACCCTGTCCAAGAAGAGGCCTCCTCCCCCTCCACCCGGACACAAGAGAACCCTGTCCGACCCTCCCAGCCCACTACCTCATGGGCCCCCAAACAAAGGCGCAATTCCTTGGGGTAAGTTTTCCCAAAGTCAGGGTCAAAGCTGCCCAGAGCCCGATAGTTGGGGGGGACTCCACTGGGCACCGGACAGTTTGCATGTTAGGAAAACCGTTCAACCACACGCACGCGCACACGCGCGCGCGCGCGCACACACACACACACACACACACACACACCCTGTGTGAGGACTTAAACATGAGTGAATATGATTATACCTGCCTTCTAAGGCCAGGAAACATTTTGAAAAATGTTTGGGGCCACTAGAAACTATAGTAGTGAATACAGGGTCCTCTGATGTCATCGGGGAGCTGGTTCTGGAACAGGTACTCCCAAGACACCCAAATCTGCAGATACCCCAGTCCCTCTTACACAGTGTGGGGTAGCGTTTGAATACCCTGAGCACATGTACTTTAAAATCCTCTCTAGACAGTGAGTGTATCTAATACAGTGTAAATGTGAGGTTAAAAAAAGAAGAAGAAGATGGGTCCATGTTGATTACGTACAATTTCTTCCAAAATATTACTAACACACAGATGTGGAGGGCCAACTATAACCCTAATGGGAACTGAGCATGTCCTGAATCTCGGTGAGATAGCAACTGTTTGAAGTCAGACTTAGGAATCTCAGAGAACTCAGAGGAGCAGCTTAATGGGCTAGGGGTAGGTAGGATGTGCCTGCACTCGAGCTACAGTGCTTGTTTTCCGTGCACAAGGCCCTGGGTTCAATCCCAGTACCAGAAGAAAAAGAAGAGGAGGAAAAGAGAAACAAAACTGTCCACTCCTCTGTGATAACCGGAATAGTTTTCTTATAAAACGGAAATCCTGTCCTAGACATTGTTCTTGGCACCTTTAACGACCTCCTGATGGCTCTCCACGTCAAAGCACTGCCTTCCCCGCACCCCCCTCCCCTACAGGAGGGTCTCTGCTCAGCCCCCTGCCCTTCAACTCCTAGTCTCCTCTCTGGCTCTAGCCAAGGCCCTCACCCTCCCCGGCGGTCTGTCCTGCTGGCCTCCTTGGCATCTGTTTTCTTCTGGAACACTATCAGAGCTAAGCTGTTTGCATGTTCTCTCTACCGGGCTAGAATGAGAGAAGCCTCTTGGTCTGTCCTGTCGTCACCCGTATGGAATTCTTCGTGGCACAGCCCGGATATATTCAGGGATCCCTAGAGAACTCGCAGCCTTACCCAGAGTGAGTTAAGTTCACTCAGCTGATCCACCAGCCACAAGGACTTGTCTACAACTCAGCACAAAACACTACTGACAGTAGCAACAAAGACGATGCTTTTTATCCCGCCTGCTTTCCTGCCTGTGGCACATGGGTCACCGTCCTCCCGAAACCCAGCAAAGTCCTGGCCCGACACCAACGAATTCTGCCGAATGAGCATGGTAGTCTGTGTCTCACCTCTTCCCACCCAGGGAGGAGTCCATTGTGACTTTTTTTTTACTCAGCATGGAATGAGTAATTCAGATTAATAGCCAGTCTCAAAGGATTTATCAGAAGCCTACCCGAATTGTTCTGATTTTTGTTTTGTTTTCGTTTGGTTTGTTTTTGTTGATTCCATTGCTCATACCTCCTTGCCTGTCCCCTGACAACGCCATCTCTGTAGAGTCCCTAATGTGAACCATGGTGCCATATTCTCCACGTGTCTTTTGAAACAAAGTCAGTCTCTGTACTTTAGGCTGACCTTGAACCCAGGGCCCCCCTGCCTCCACCTTCATTGCATTATAGGTTTGAGCCACCAAATGTAGTTGGTTTGTTTTTTTTTTTAAATATTCTTTGGCTCTTTTGCTCTTTGGGGGTCCCACCACCCAGCTCCCAGATAAATACACAGAGACTTATTCTTTCTTGTGAATGCCCAGCCTTACCTTGGCTCGTTTCTAGTAAGCTTTTCCTAAATTTTCCCATCTACCTTTTGCCTCTGGGCTTTTACCTTTCTCTCTTCTGTACTTTACTGTTTCTTTACTGCTTACTCTGAGGCAGAGAGTGTGGCTGGCTGGCTGGCTGGCTGGCTGGCCCCTGGTGTCCTCTCCATCTTTACTCTCTCCTCAGCATTCTCTGTTCTCTCGAGCCTAGACTTCTCCTCCTATTTATTCTCTCTGCCTGGCAGTCCCGCCTATCGGCTTTTTATTAGACCAATTAGGTATTTTAGTCAGGCAAAGCAACCCAGCTTCACAGAGTTAAACAAATGCAACATAAAAGAATACAGTACCTGGTCTACAAGAGCTAGTTCCAGGATAGCCTCCAAAGCCACAGAGAAACCTTGTCTCAAAAAAACCAAAAAAAAAAAAAAAAAAAGAATGCAACACATCTTTGCATCATTAAACACATATCCTACAGCGTAAATGAATGTAACGCATCTCAATATTCCACAGCGACCAACCATATGTGGCTTTTAACAAGCATCTGTTCATTGCACAACACCTCAGTTTCTCTGACAATAAAATAAGGACTGGTACTATTCCTGCGTTATGCATGGAATTCTCACGGAGGCTATGTGACTCAGAAAGTATTCAGCAAACGTCACCTACTGTGTGTAACTCAGCCTGGCATTTTGCTGGTTGACCGCTCCCTAGGCCCTCGAGTGTGTGACCTGAGGCTGTGTGTCCTCGGCTACTGTAACCCATGCCACAAACTCGGACTCTTAGACAATCAGAACCTATTCTCATGGTTCTTTCCCCAGGAGCTTGCATATCAGATATTTACATCACGATTCATAACTGTAGCAAAATTACAGTTATGAAGCAACAACGAAAATAATGTTTTGGTTGGGGTCACCACAACACAAGGACCGATATTAAAGGGTCTCAGCATTAGGAAGGCTGAGGACCACTGTTCTAGAGGCTGCAAGACTGACACCCAGCAGAAGCCGTGTCCCTCCCCTAGGCGGTCTAGAGAAACAATCTGCCCTTGTGTCTCCATTTCTGGTGACTGCCAGTGTTCCTTCAGCTTTCTGGGATCCTCGTGTGCGCGCACACACACACATATGCGTGTGCACGCGTGTAGCCTGGAACTTGCCAAGTAGACTAAGCTAGTTGATAACGAGCCCCAGGGATCGGCCCTCCCCCTCTCTCTCCCTCCCTCTGCCCTTCTCTCCCTCTCTCCTTCTCTCCTAGCACTGTAATTACGAGTACACTGCCATACTAAAGTTTTTATATGGGTTTTAGGGATCAAACTCAGATCCTTATTCTTGCCCGGCAAGCCCTTTACAGGTTGAGCCGTCTTCCCAGCTGGATTTGGTACCTGTGGGTAGCCATTTGGTGACTGCTTCTAGCCTGCTCCTTGGTATCAAAGATTCATTTCCATTCCGCACCCAGAATGCAATACATCCACAATAACGCCTCCCCTCCCACCCCCGCCACCAGGTCCACCTCTGTCTTGGCTCTTGTCCTCAGAGAGTACGCTACTCAGCCATGCAGCCAGCAGTCTTACCAGGTCTGTGACTTGACTGCAGTGTGGCAGCCTTTCCTTTGGTTTGGTTTGTCTCTTGTTGTTGCTACAGTCTTCAGGGAATGGGTTCTTGAGGTTTGGTTGATTCTTTCTAGGGCTGGTTTGTTTTGAAATAGGGTCCCCTACATAACACAGGCTAGCCTGGACCAGAACTATTGCCGTCACTTCCTCCCAATGTGCCACCACGGCTGGCTGCCTGTCACACTCTGAAGCTTTCACTGCTCGGTGTTCCTTCCAGCCATGTTCCTGGACTCGGAACCTCCAGCAGTTGGCTCATTTGTAGATGGCTGTGGCTGAAGGCCCTGCCTTCACTGACATTTGTGACGACTTCTGTGCAAATTATGAGTCTCCCCAGTCTTGCACACTGGCCTTTGAGGAGGGAGAAGGCAGTTTGAAGAGGAGGCAGAGCTTGAATTTGGCAATGGAAGGTGGGTGGAATAGAGTAAGCCCCTCGGAGCCCTGAGTGCCGGGCACAATAGCTTCCTGGCAGGTGCCCTGTCCACCTTAGACTTTGCATTCAGTAGCGTAGATCAGTCTTGCCCACAGTCTCTGGGACAGAACATGCTGTTTCCTGGGCTTTAAGGATTCTAGACTAGAAAGGTTAAGTACTTGCCCCGGCTCTCTCTCACAGCTGGTACCGGGGTGCCAGTGTGGCTGAGAGCCTGCACTCCCCACCCTGTCCACACGCTGCTGCCTGCGATGGAAAAGGGCAGAGAGTGAACCTCAAGCTGTCCCTCCTCGCCACGTCTGTCTCTTTTCTTGAGACTCGGAGGCCTGGAGAAGGTTCTCCCCTTGGCGGAAGGTACACGCTCTAACACATGCCCCACGCACTGCCTGTGCCCTCTTGTTCCCTGGAGCAGTACATTCTGCTGTGTGGGTCCAGCCTTGCCCGGGCAAGAAGAAACCTTCCAGGCTTTTTTCCTGCCAGAGCTGCTGTGTCCACAGTGCCCAGAATAGCCTGGGCATTACATGACTGAAGTCCCGCCCGGGTGCTGAATTCAGCCATCTGTCTCATGAGACTTCTCGGGGCAGGCTTGTGATGAGAAGGCAGCGTGCTAGCAGGCAAATGCAAGGTATGTGGGAACCCCATGACCTTGGAAGCTGCATCTCATTAAGCTTCCCTCTTTAAACCACCTGCTTTAAAACAAAGCAATGTGTATTTTAACACATACCTATAAGTGATAAGGAAATAAGGACAGAGCCTGCCTTAGTGGCCTCCGGGAATCAACCTCTGGCCACTGATGCCTAAAAAACCTGCACTTTTTTTTTTTTTTTTTTTTTTTTTCCTCTCCCCCCAAAAAAGCCCCAAA